GCCGATGCACGGGGTCCCCAGGCGCGTGCCGGCTGCCGGTGCACGGGGTCCCCGGGTGCATGCCTGCTGCCGATGCACAGGGTCCCCAGGTGTCTGGATGCAGCCTGGGCAGATGGGTGTGTCTCTGCCTATGGGGACTTGCTGGGACAGGGCTTGGACCAGACACCCCCCGCCGTTTCCCACAGAAGGGCTCCCGTTCATCACGCCCCCATCTCCGGGTCGTTTGTTTTGATCACACAGGGGGGCTGTGGCACAAGGCAGCCGACGCGGTCCTGCGCACCACGTGGCCGGCTCCCCCGGACTCGCCGGGACTGTCCTCTGGGCCAGCACTTGGCACTGCTCACCACAGCTGTGGGCCCGGGGTTCTGCCCTGCGGCTGCTGACGCTGCTGCATCGTCTGAAAAGATCAGTGTACAGACAGGAAAGTCATGACAACTGCTTCCCGCACGTGCATGCCTGACTTCGCCTCCCCTACCTGGCGTGCGGCGGCCGGTGAGGCCCAAGTGTAGCAGGTGTGCTTGTGAATGGGACAGGCTGCGGGTTCGGAGGGCTGGAGGGCCATGTCATACACTCCAGCCTGAGAGCCGTGTCACTGCTGGGGACTTTGCAGCCTCACCTGACCCCTGTGGACCACACGGATCACCTAAGGCCAGAGGCCCGGGCACAGGGATTCCCTGGGGTAAGGGCTGTGCTGTCCCCTGCCTCACTGTTCACACAAGCAGGCAGTCCAGGCTGTGCCCTGGAGCAGCCTTGGCTGTGCCCTGCTCCCTCCAGAACAAGCCCTGGAAACCGAGCGCACACCCAGGCCCACCTGTAGGGGGCAGAGGTTCTGAGGAGGTTAGACACAGGCGAGCGTGGAGGCTGGGACCTGATGTGGCGTGGTGGCATCCGGACGAGACCGAGCTGCCCTGGGGATGGACTCGGGCTGTGCCAGACACTCACACGTGTCCTCTCGTTGCTGGCAGTGGGAGCATGTCCCTCCCATGCCAGGTGAGGTGGGGGTGGCAGGGCAGCACGGCGCTGGCCGAGAAGCGTCACTGTCTGGGAAAAATGTCGCTTTGGGACGAGGTGAGGACAGGGTCGTGGTGCCCGCACGCATGGTCACAGAACAAGTTGAGGTGGACACTACAGTGCGGGTGCTGGTGAGCCTGTGGCCGGTGAGGCATGTGGGGCTGTTTCCCGTCGTCTTGAGGACCAGGCGACATTGCATCGGCTGGGAGGATCAGCGATGACGCATCGGGAGAACGTTGGCATGAAAGGGGAACACAGGCTGTGGGGGGAGTTCCCACCTGCCCGACCCTGCGGTCGGGTCGGAAACCAGGCGATAGGAGCCCACGGGCCCGGGGAGGGCGCGGGTGTCGGCTCTTCCTGCCCCGCTGCGGGCGGAAAACTAGGGCCGCCCAGGAGCCGAGCTGTGGAAACTATCAGAAAGGGGGCTGATTGCAGACCTCTCGGTGTGCCTCAGGAAATGGGAAGGGACTCTCGGATCTGTGCTTTTTCCAATTTTCCGTGTTCAGGAAAGAATTCATTCTTCAAGCAATGTAATCTCCTGCTATGATTTCTCAGCTCCACAGAGAATAATTATAGCTTAATCATGGACCAAAATAGAAAATGCCAACCGTGTGGCAGGGAAGGGCAGTGTTCTCCTCGTGGACTGTCTGCTCTGGGTCCTGGCAACCACAGAGCGCTTCTCACCTGTGCACTTCTCACCTGTGAGCGTCTCACCTGTGTGCTTCTCACCTGTGCAATACTCACCTGTGAGCTTCCCACCTATGCACCCTTCTTACCTGTGCACTTCTCACCTGTGAGCTTCTCACCTGTGCACTTCTCACCTGTGCACTTCTCACCTGTGAGCTTCTCACCTGTCTGCTTCTCACCTGTGAGCTTCTCACCTGTGCACTTCTCACCTATGAGCTTCCCACCTGTGTACCCTTCTCACCTGTGCACCCTTCTCACCTGTGAGCTTCCCACCTGTGCACCCTTCTCACCTGTGCACTTCTCACCTGTGAGTTTCTCACCTGTGAGCTTCCCACTTGTGCACCCTTCTTACCTGTGCACGTCTCACCTGTGAGTGTCTCACCTGTGAACTTCTCACCTGCGCACTTCTCACCTGTGAGCTTCTTGCCTGTGCACCCTTCTTACCTGTGCGCTTCTCACCTGTGAGCTACTCACCTGTGCGCTTCTCACCTGTGCAATTCTCACTTGTGAGCTTCTTACCTGTCCACTTCTCACCTGTCCATTCTCACCTGAGATTCTCACCTGTCCACTTCTCACCTGTGCGCTTCTCACCTGTGAGATTCTCGCCTGTGCACCTCCAGTGGCATCAGAACTCACCCTTCCTCCGACTTCCAGGAGCGTTTGGTCCTGCTGGGACCGAGGTGGGGAGTATCGCAGTCTGGGCAGGAGGAAGACTGTCTCAGCGTGGACGTTTTTCTTCCTGGACTGAAGGACCAGGCTTCACACAGACGTGACAGCTGGGAGTCTCCACGTGTCTGAAAATTCAGTCTGCAGTGTAGGGCGTAAGGAGCGGGCGCCAGGCCACACGTGTCACACTCGCCCACCTAAAGCACCTTCCTGAGCAGCCAGGGGCCGAGGCAGCACGGGCTCCTGGTGCCGGTCTGAGTGCCTCTGAACTACGAAGGTTCTTCCTCTGACACGTGGGAAGAGGTGGGTGCCTCGGAGAGGCTGAGGGACATTCACGAAGCCCTACAATGAATATGTGGCGGGCCCAGGGTCCCCGAGTGGCACGCCCACAGCCCTCGACCGAAGCCACCCCTGGGAGTCCCGCCTCATCCGGCTCCTGAAGGACCTCAGCCCAGAGGTCAGGTCCGCCACGCTTCCAACATGGCCGTTCCCTGGCTTGTCAGACCATTCGAAGGGATGGCCGGAGGAGGTGCCAGGAACCCATCTGTTCCCAGAGGCGTTTCTGCGGTGGCCCCCGAACACGCTGCCGCGTTGTCACCTGGTGGTCAGCAGTCAGACTGAGGGAAGATGAGTGGGGGCAGTGGGAGGCAGGTAGTTCCAGCCATTCCTCCCGATCCGACCCTCTGGGGACGCCGTGGCCTGGACCCGGGAGCCGTCCTCTCAGTGCCCTGGCCCATCGTCGGCCGGGACGAGGTGCCCACTTTGCTCAGAGTTCGGAGGGGCTTTCTCCACAGTAGCCAGAGAGACCTGTTGAACTCACCTTTAGCCACACTAAAGGAACCGAAGCTCCCAGACACGCTAGCTGTGGTTAGTTACCGGCTTTGCGCCGGTGCCATTGGGGCAGCCCTGTTTGACCGGCCGAAGACTCGGGCGCGGCCAGCAGAGCCCAAGGCTGCGTTCGGCAGGACCCAGCCTGTCCCTGTCACCAGCGCCGTGAGGGCACGTCTGCGGCCACGCGTCGGCTTGGGAGGTTGTCCTGGTGCGTCCGGGTAGGGGTCTGCGAAGTGCGCTAATTTACATCTGCCATGAGAATAAAGATGCCTCTTTCCACAGCAAACAGCAAAAGGGAAAGGGGTAAAGACAGAGAAAAAGTAAAAGCAAAAATACTGTCGGGGGGTTTTTCCCTCAGTACTTACCAGTCGAGTCCGAAGTATCACCATAAGCGTCATCGTCGACGGGTAGCGACAGGTAGTCCATGTGTCGGGTCACTCTTCCCTGGTCCTCTTCTCCCCACCCCGTTTCCGAGCAGGTCCTTACAGGAGACCCTGAGAGCACAGGCAATGGTTCCAAACCAGACGAGTGGGGCCGGCAGGCTAAGAGCCCCTGCTGTGAGCAGAGGGCACTCGGCACTGGGAGGGGCACGTATTTGCAAACTGCCTCAGATAAGGGACTGGTGGCCAGAACCCACTGGGATTAGCAGCTTATCTGCAAAATGGGAGCGACCGGATCTAATGAGCAAAGAGCTGAACGAGGGCTCTCCAAGGAAGACATCAGCGGCCAGAAAGCCTATGGAAACAGCCACCTCGTTCACCATGGGGCGATGCAGAGCCGAACCGCAGTGACAGCGCGGGCCCCATCAACGTGGCCAAGATGAAGAAAGGAGGTAACTTTTTAGCATAAAAGTATAAAAACAATCACCTTACCTCAGTGCTCTAAGGAATTAGAGGGCAATACAACTAATAATATTTATTTCTAACGATTTGGATGTACTGCAGGGTGTCCCACTCCCTGATGTGGGAGCGCCCAGCTGCCCCTGACGCTCACTGACACGCACTGGGGCTTCTACCGCAAGGGGAAGGAGGCAGCGAGCCTGTGACTCACGGCAGAGTTCCTTTGTGTCACCTGCTCACCTGCCATTGGCCTCCTTTGGGTTCTGGGGTCAGTGCTAGCCTGCATCTCACCTGAGGAAAGCGCTTTCAATCACTCCTCCACCCTCATGTCCCACGTTCCCCACGAACAGTCTGCCCTTGAAGGGGCGAAAGCTTAGGCGGGATCTCTGGTGAGCAAGGGACCTCCTGTTTTTCCGAGCGAGTCTCTGTGGTGGCATCTCCAAGGTCGGGTTTGTCCTTCCCATTGCTGAGCTCAGCTGTCCCCACGCCAGGATGTGCTCCTGCAGCCATGCCCCCCCCATGAGTGTGGCCCTCTGCCCTTGGCCTCATGGCCCAGCGAGGGCACAGGTGTGCTGACTGAGGGCAGGAGGAGCATGTCAGAGAACACAGCAGCCTCGCTCTCCCGGGGGCTCTGCCGGGTTGGCCCAGTGCCGACACACACACACAGGCACAGCACCGTGTATGGGCACCGGCCGTGCCTGCAGTCGGCAGGTAGACCAGCTGTCGGGACAGCCTGGGCCTGCACGTCTTCCCAGCTCACAGGTGTGGGGGTGAACCCGGGGGCTCAGCCATCCCTCAGCCGCGTCTGGGGTCTCACACCGCTAGTCCACCAGACCTGGGCAGGTCCTTATGTCGGTTTGGGTTTGGGTCTGACCCAGCTGTGGCTGACGTCCGACTGCTGGCCAGGGTGTCTCCAGGGCCCTGCCTCTCCCCACCTTCCACGCTCTCACTGGGCCAGGCCCCTCTTGTGTGCCCTCTCATGCCTGCTCTGCCCCTCACTTGCCAGGGCATGTTGGAGCCTGCTCCCGGGGTGTCCTGGCCCTTCCCTTGCACGCAGCTTCCCGACAGAAAGGGCCAGGGCAGCTCAGCTGGGTCTCTGTGCCCAGCCCGGAGCCCGGAGTCCGGCTGTATGTGGAGCTCTGGCCAACGCCTGTGGATGTGCCTGTGGGCAAGAGCGCCCTCCGGCTCCGACCGCAGCCGACGGAAGACCGCCTTAGTTTCACAGAAGCTTCGAGGAAGGAGGAATGCGTCCGTGACTGCGCTGCGAGCGCGACACTATGCTAAGGCCCTCATCGACTGACGTCGTTGGAATCCGTTCATCGGAATTCGGACTTTTCAGCCCTCCTTCCTTGTTTATTACCATCGGGATGTTATTTTGTAGTCTGTTTCCAGTAGGAAGCATCTGATCAAAATACAGCTACTTAGATACATTTATTGCACCTCAGAAGATACATTTTCCCAGAATTAAATCCCTCTCCAGAAATGAGATAGGTACTTTTGATACTTAATTATCTTAGATACTATGTTGTTTGTGGAAACTTTAACTTAATTTGAAAACCATGTTTTCTTTAACAACAGTTTCAATGGCCCAGTAAATGGTGTGTGGTTAAGGCACTGGATTCCCACACGGTTGACCGTGATTCTAGTCCTGGGCCCGGAAGCCTGAAAACCATGCTGGGCACGTGTGTATGCATGCCCGAAATCTCAGGAGGAGGATGGAGGAGAAGAGATTGCAGTATACCACGGCCCCGGGGGGTGATTTCTCACTGTCTCTCTCACTGTCTCTCTCTGTCTCTTTCCAGCAAGCGCACGTACCCTATGGCAAGAACCATTAAAAAATACAGTTTTGTTTAAGGTTGTGATTTGAGATCACTGCAGATTCATTTTTAGCTGTAAGAAGTAAGAAAGCTCCTCTTACCCAGCCTCCTCTGTGCTAACGTCTCACATACCTGTTGAGCAGGGTGTTGACTGACACGGCCAGGGCCCAGAGCAGACCCGTACCACGAGGCCCCTTCATAGCTGTGCCTGCTTCCTTGCTTGGCCCACTCCCACCTTGAACCCTCGCACTCCTTAATATGTTGCCATTTCAAAAGTGTTACACAGTGGGGCCAACCCCTTGGCTAGTGGTTAAGGGAACTGGATCCCACATGGCTGACCATGGTTCAAATCCTGGCACTGGCAGCTTGGTACATCTGTGTGTCTGAAACCCCAAAAAGAGAGGTGGAGAAGGGATCGTGGTGTCACCCGTCCCACTGGCGTGTCTCTCTCCAGCAAGCACACACCGTCTGGCAGTTAAAGGAAGTTCTACACCCTGGACCTCACGATGTGTGAGTCTTGCTCACTCAACATCATTCCGTGGAGGCCTTCATGTGCCATAATCTGCCAGAGGCCCTTACATACCCTGGTTCATCCTTTTTCCTTGCTGCATAGTACTTCATGGCATGTGTGTGTAACTTTAACAGTAATGTTTCACCCACTGAAGGATGTCTGGGTTGTTTCCAGGCCAGGGCTGTTATGGATAAGACTTCTGGGATTTAGTGTTCAGGTACAGGCTTCAGTGGAGACGGTTTTCCTTTCTCTGGGTAAACACCCAGGGGTACAATTGCTGTTCTGTGGTAGTGCACAGTGGTGCCCTGGTCTCACTGCGTGTCCTTCCCCCACGGCCATCATAAGCGTGTAGTGGTATCCTGGTCTCACTGCGTGTCCTTCCCCCACGGCCGACGCAAGTGCACAGTGGTGTCCTGGTCTCACTGGTCTCACTGTGTGTCCTTCACCACGGCCATCGTAAGCGTGTAGTGGTGCCCTGGTCTCACTGCGTGTCCTTGGTGCTGAAGGTGGCTCACCCACGTTTCCTTCTCCAGCCGCGTGTCCTCCTTAGGGAAATGTCTCCCGACGCCCTGCCTCTTCTACCTGGATTGCTTCTTGGCCATGGAATGTTGTGAGCTCTGTGCATGAACTTGATGGTCCTCCAGCGGATGTGTGACTCCCAGCTGTTTTCCCAACCCGGAGCTTACACGTTCATCCTCTTCACTGGGCTTTTCAGGAAGAAAAGAAAGCTTGATGTTGATCAAAGTGGCTCTCTCCTTAGTTGGCAACGACATGCCTAGTTTCTTCAGAGGTGATGTAAAGTCACGTTTCCACGCTCAGATCCGTCTGCACTAATGTCGCTCAAACCGACTTGGCAGTAGTGCCGTGACAGGTCTCTCAGTTGTCCCGCTGAGGGCTCTTCCCGGCTCGGCGCCGGCTGCAGCCCCTGCAGAAAGCGAGGACGCGAAACTCGACTCGCGGTGTCCTTGCCCAGGGACTTAGCTTTGCTGGACATGCCTACGTTTTTGTGTGGTGTTTTCTTCCAGGAAGCTCATGACAGTCTTGTCTAAATCTTCACTGCCTTTTGATGAAATGAGAGATGAGGTCTTCATCTCTATTTCAGTTGTGAAACCTGAAGAGATGAAATGACAGCATGCATGGTCCTCCATGAGGTGCGGGGACATTTCCCGTCTTTCCTGTTCCCGCCTAGCTCCTAATTTTGTAAACTAGGTGCTGTTTCTTCGTCACCAAAGGTTGCTTTTCAAATGTGTCAGAATTGAAGAAGCAGCCATGGAAACCAAGGAGCACCCCAGAGCACTGCTGAGATTAAACTTTGCGGGTGGGCCAGTAGGTGGCGTGGCGGTTAAGGTGCTGGACTCCCACATGACTGACTGCAGTTCAAGTCCCGGACCTGGTGGCTTGAAACCCACACAGGGTGCGCATTTGTGCTTGCCCAAAATCTCAAGAGGAGATTGGAGGAGAAAGGATTGTGGCATGGCCATCCCCCTGGGGGGGTGATTTCTCACTTTCTGTCTCTCTGGCAAGTGTACATGTCCTATAGCAGAAAACTAAGAAACAAAACCAAACCCAAAAAACCTCCCAAGGTCACTTCTGTGTGCTGAGTTTACAATTATGTAAACTTGAAATCTACAGGGGCCCAGCCGGTGGTGTGGTGGCGGTGGCTAGGTCCCACTTGGCTGTGTGCTTTGCGTCTCAGACCTAGAGACTTAAAAAACACACCAGGCACGTGCGTGTGTGTGCCCCAAGTCCCTGGGTGAGAATGGAGGTGAAGGGACTGTGGCGTGGCTGTCCCCAGAGGGGGTGCTTTCTCACTTTCCTTCTCTCTCTCTGTCTCTGTCTGTGCCCTCTTGCAAGTAAAAATAATGATCCACACTCGGTCAAGAATGGGATAAGCACTGAGCAGTCAGACGGCGAGCTCTCCTGTAGCCGGGCCGTGAAGGGCTCGCTGCGTGGTGCTGACCCGACTCTTCTCTCGTCTTAATGAGCATCATTCTGCCCATCGCGCTGTTTGCCACAGAGAGCGTTTTCTCACCGTGACGACGTGAGTGGATTCGACGGGTCGTCCTCGCCAGGAGGACTAGGTCTGGCGTCACAGCTGTTTCCATGGCGACAGGTCGTGATGTCATGAGACCTGAAGGCTGAGTCAGCGAGCCGTTCAGATGGAGGAGGGGTTCACGGCTCCCCACTGCCTTTGCCCTCTGTGGGATTAACGAAGACGAGGGCTGGACCTTCCTCAGGAGGTCACGGGAATTTATGGCACGATTCAGACCTGCCTGAACACAGCTGTGATGGCTCTTAAATGGAAGAGACCTTTCTTCCC